CTCTCTCTCTCTCTCTCTCTCTCTCTCTCTCTCTCTCTCTCTCTCTCTCTCTCTCTCTCTCTCTCTCTCTCTCTCTCTCCGCCCCCCCCTGTGTGCTAAACAGTACTGCACAGAGGACAGACCATTTGTTCAGCGTGTGTGGCACCTGTAAGTGTGTTTGCATGTGTGTGGGCGTGCTTGTGCTAGACCAACAAGAGGTGGAAGGAGCCTAGAGGGCCTGCATGCATGCGTGTTTGTTGAACCGACAGCACTCAGTCTAGTGGGTCTTAGCTAAATTACACTGACCAGAGGGAGGATCCCATTCGGTCCCTGCGTACATGCAAATCACTCAATCTAACGGACCTGCACGATGTTACACTGACCAGAGATGTGGAGATACAAGTAGTCACAACCCCTCGCTTCTCGCCAGCAGCCCCCCTCCGAAAAGCTGTCCTCAGTGATTGCTCTGTCAGGCCGCCAGTTTTCTGACGACCTCCCCGCCCCCCCCCCCCCCCCCCCCCCCCCCCCCCCGCCACTTCGGCAACCGGCGTCCGTCGTAAACTTGACCTGCATCCTGAAAAGGTCGATGAATCCAACTGTTAGAAAATCTGCAAGAGAAGAAACCACATCTCACATCCCAGATCTCAACACACTTTCAGGAAAATGGCCATACCGAGCGAGCAGACGTGGCACACCCCGCGACAAGAAAGCGCCTCCAGATATGTCCATGCCATTTCTGGAACTTCAGATATGTCCATGCCATTTCTGGAAGATATCTGAAGTTCCAGAAATGGCATGGACATGATTTCAGCGAGTGTCAGCAGACGTGTGAGCAAGCCTGTTGCCGACGACGAAAACCCATCCGGTGACCGGGGCATGTGATTGCCATAAAAAAAAAAAAAAAATCTGTGTCTAACAATGAACTGGAACTTGAGCAGGCCTATACTTTCATTTCTGGCCTCCAAGACCAAGAACGTGGCAAGAGCCGCCAACATGACAGAACTATTTCTGCGTGCAGCCTGCCGCTTGCGCGGCATGCTGATCCGCGATTACTAGCGATTCCAACTTCATGTTCTCGAGTTGCAGAGAACAATCCGAACTGAGGCAATGTTTCAGGATTCGCTCTGCCCGGCCGGTAAGCTTTGGTGTTACGCATAGATACTAGATATCCAGTATCTATGATATGTCCATGCCTTTAAGATGAATATCTGTATCTATGCGGCCATAACACGAAAGGGAAAAGGGGAATGACATCCAAAGTTATGCGGTCTGTGGACTGGTCAAAATGGCGAGCGGCGATAACACGAAAGGGCAAGCGGCATGGCACCCGAACATATACGTAGAACTAGTAGTGTCCATGGATGGCACCAGTCTCAGCCCTGGCCCCACAGCCAACGGGGCTATACGGGGGATAAGAGTTAGTAGCAAACTTCAAAACCGACAAAAAAGAAAGAAAAAGCACAAAAAGCAAAGAGGAAGAGGGACATGAGAAAACCTCCAGCATAGCTCGGTGTAGGTTTTGCAGACTTTCCTATAGAAGTCGGATCACAACCGCCCACCGCTTCCCACCCCTCCCTGGGGGGGGGCTTATGAGAGGTCTTAATTGCTATTAGCCCCGTATCGATTTGGTCCATAGCGCCCCCCCGCATCATTGCTGTTAGCTGCGTATCGATCTGGTGCATAGCGCCCCCCCCCCCTGTCCAAATCGCATGTGGACAATCCTATCCAGCCCTGTGTAATGGATTACTCATTGTGATGCCAGTCTTCTACTCTTGGGTGCTCTGTTCCAAGATGGTTGTGATACAGAATAGAGAGAAGAGCACGGAGTGGCGGCTGTCACTCTTAGATATCCTCGGCAGCAATCAACATTCTCACGGCTCAAGGAATTGGGGATGTGCATGGCAGGGAGCATCTGCATGACAAGTGCATGCAAACTCCACTTTCCTAAAAAGGAATCTGCAAGATTCTGCACCACAAGGGAGGATGAGAAAAATGTGTTGCTGCAAACTCCACTTTCCTAAAAAGGAATCTGCAAGATTCTGCATACATATTGGACGTGTTAGGTCCGAGCTCGAACATGCCTGCGCATTGCCATGTGTGGATACAGATTCCCCAACACTCAGAATCCTAAAAAGGAATCTGCATCCACATTGCAAAACAGGATGACGGAAGCGTCAAACAAAGGAGTAGGCCCATTTAAGGTTGAGGGGGGGGAAGACAAAAAAAAGAGGCGGCTACAGGAGATTGTGAAGGGATGGTGGGGACGGAAGAAGGGGAGGAGAAAAGAGGGCAAAGCTTGGGGAAGAACGGAGGACAAAATCGCGGAGCAACGGATCGAGTGAGTGCTTGGAGAATATTGCCTCAAGAGGAAAGGAGACAAGAGGATATAAAAAGAATTTTGGGTTTGACAGAAAAATTATGACGACAACGATTCCAAATCCTCGTCACTCTCTCCGTAAATGTCATCTGCCGCATGATTGTCCTCTTTCCCTTTCGCTGGTGTGTCGTCCTGGCTATCCCACTCCTCGTCCTCATCGCTAAACCCTTCACTTTCATCTACCATTGCATCTTCCACATCCTCCTCTTCGTCATCCGTCTCCTCCTCCTCATACACAATCGCGGGCGTATCTGGTCCATCCGCTTGTTCGACCGCACCTCCCAATTGCCCGATCTGCAAAGTACATTCACGCAGCAAAGGAAGCGCATCGAACGCAGAACACACAAGCATCATCACCCTTTCAGAAAACTCCAGAAAAAAAAAAAACAAGTTCACACGCTATTCGCAACAGTTCCAAACTGGCCACAGTATTTTGGTGGGCCCAAGATCCACAACGATCGATATTCGCCACAGTTCCTCAGCCCAAGCAGTGAGTACCCTGACAAGCTACTGTCAGTTTGCAACTTGGGCCCACCAAAGTTGGGCCCACCAAAATCCTGTTTTCCAATGTGGGATGCAGATTCCTTTTGGAACTTGGGCCCATCCCACCAAAATACTGCCCACCACAAGCAGTGAGTAAAAAAAGCTACTGTCAGTTTGCAATTTGGGCCCAAAGTATTTTGGTGGGCCCACCAAAATCCTGTTTTCCAATGTGGATGCAGATTCCTTTTGGAACTTGGGCCCACCCCACCAAAATACTGCCCACAAGCACTGAGTAAAAAAGTTACTGTCAGTTTGCAATTTGGGCCCACCAGAGTATTTTGGTGGGCCCACCAAAATCCTGTTTTCCAATGTGGATGCAGATTCCTTTAGGAACTTGGGCCCACCAAAATACTGCCTACAAGCAGGGAGTAAAAAAAAGCTACTGTCAGTTTGGAACTTGGGCCCACAAAACTATTTTGGTGGGCCCAAGATCCACAAGGATATTCGCCAAAGTTCCAAACTGCCCACAAGGCATTTTCCATTTCCTTTTGCCTTTGCTTCGTAACGGAATGTTTTTTTTTTTACCCGCACAAACCCATTTCAGATCCCTCCCGACTGCACAGCCGCCACAGCCCAAGCAGTGAGTACCCCGACAAGCTACGGTCTTTCCCCTGGACACAACCCAGCCTTTTTTTCTTTTTTCTTTTTTTTTGCAAACACCACCCGCCCTCATCCTGAATGCATACGATCTACATTTGTGGTCCAATACTGACGGCATGACGACGGGGGTGTTCTGTTCGGAGGAAGACAGGAGTTCATCATTTGCGCAAAGACAGAAGGACTCGTCGGTGACGTGAAAGGGGGTGAGGGGTCAGATGGGGCAAAGATCAGGAGTTGCATGGGGGAGCTAAAGGCAAGAATTACCTGTGAAAGAACAAGGTCTAGGCGCCCGAGGAGAGCAAGCATTGGCTGAAACACACTCAGCCGCGCACCGATGAGCTGCGGACGACACGGCACACAGCATACGAGCAATTGTCAGAGCAAGACAATGGTGCAAGATAGCCACAGCTACAGCCCGCATTGATCCATAGATGCCATTTTCACACACGTCTCTCTCTTCCCAGACAAGCTCAACTGTACAATTCCTGCCATGCACAATATCAGTACCCCCGGTCAAAATCGAGCATTTTCTCTGCAGAAAGCAAGATATTAAAAAACGGTAAAAAAGTTAAAAAAACTGGAAAAAAAAAAAATTATGTTGTACAGTTGAAGTCGTGTAGAGGGTAATAATTCAAACACCTCACCAGGATTTCGGAGAAAATAATAAACAGAAAAACCTAATGCAACATTTAAAATTTTAAATTAAATCGAATAAAGGACCCTCCCCCCTCCAAACCCCTATAAACCCTGTCTATAACTCCATAACCCGTATGAACCATTTGAATCCTGTACATGCTTTTCATGAAACAAAAATTTGGTGTGTTATGTTTGACGTGCACAGAGTGCCTTTCTTTACTTTTTCAATCCCGGAAATTGTTTAAACCACCAGTACCTTCCCCAGTGTTGGGAAAATACGAGATACTGGCCAGTACCCGAAGTTTTCGGGGGTCGGACAGAGGGTCGGCAATGTCCCAAAAGTCGTATTTTTTTTTTTGCCTGTGCACGAAAGGGAAAGGAAAAAAAACGGGCCTTTGTACTGCAATGATGTCGTGCAGGGATGTCTAGGAGACCGTGCTCACAGTCTTGCATGCATCTTACAGCAAAGACGGTCATGTTCTCAAACTTGTCGTTTTCTTTTTTTCTTTTGTATTTGTTTGTAATGAGTACCCTGCCAACGAGGCAGGGCGGAATCCGTGATCTGCTGTAGTATTGTTTCCTCAGATGAATGTACCCAGCCGTTTTCAAGGCCGAATCCATGTTTTCGTTTTTTTTTCTTGTTTTCATTTTCTGGACTCTGACAACCTGAATCCGTGATATGCTCGAGCTGCTCGAGCTGTGTTCCCATAGAGGATTGTAACCCTGATCACATTGGCACTTACGGGAATGTATCTTGCCATTTTCACGGCCGAATCCATGTTTCTGTCTTTTTTTTTTTTTTCCGAGTTTCTGAAATCTGACAACCTGGCCACGGGGCTGAGATGCCCTCACTGAGGGCACACTCACACTTACACTTCCGATAATGCATACAGCTGCAATCACGCCCAGAGCTTTGTTTTTTTTTTTTGTTTTGTTTTGTTCTTCCCATGAGAGTACCATAAAGAAATGGAGTGGGACCCAGGCTCGGCAAAACTCGGAGCGCAGTGAAAATCAGGGTCGGCAAAAACAGGCTCCGAGGTACTGGTGGTTTAAGGTTTCTTTTAATTATGCCCCCTCGCCCCACTTCCCCCCTACCCGCCCCCTTTTTATGAGCAGCCGATAATCTGGCCAGGACATGGCAAACTAGTTTAAGCCACCTACCTAGGTCACCAGAGAATGATCCAAACATAACCCGCATTTCAATTACGTAGGCAGGAGCCGCACGAGAAGCGGGAAAAAAAGGATGATTAGGGAAGGTAGCAGAGGGGGTTCCCGACGCCAAGGGATTACGGGTCACATTATGATTTTCATATCCACGTGTATTCCAACTCTGATACCTTTCCTTTCATCCCCCACACATCCTTTCATCTGTTTGCACCTTGAAACACATGCTAGGGGCTTAGGCCCTTAGCTCAGTTGGTACACACCCATAAACTGTTGAAATGCAGACGTGAGTTCGAGTCCGCGTGAACGAACTTCCTCAATCCTGGGGCTGGCCAGTTTCACGATGATATCTCAAGGCTGTCGCCCTTCTTTTAAGAAATTAAGGAAAAAAGGGCAAAATGCAGGCACCACAGACAGGAGTAAACGAAACAGTACACATTACGGAAGACAACCGTTTCACCGCAGTTTAGAATACCTCTACAGTCCGTGGAGAATAAAACTCCACGAAGAACTGCAAAAGAAGGAAAACCACGAAGAATGCCAAAAAGAAGGAAAGGAACAAGAAAGAGAAACAAGGGCAAAGAAAGTGACTTCACGATATTGATGTGCGTCACACACTGGACCTAGTTTCCAGCAGGTGTAGGTCCCCACCAATAGACTGGAGCAACCAGCGTCAGACCTAGTAGAGGGGGATGATCATACCCCCCCCGCCCCTTTCCCCCACCCCCCCACCCCCCCTCCAGTAGACCAAGCCTGGTTTCAAAAAGAGAAAAGGAAAAAAAAAGAGAAGAGTGACTTGACACAGCTGTCCAGAGATGAACTGTCGAATGCTGCGGTATGCAGTCTTCAAGCACATCCATAGTCGATGTGTGTACATTGTGGGTCGCGAGGAGAAAGGAGGGATTGGGTGGGGAGGCGCCTGGTCTGCAACCCTTATGTCAACATCTCTGTGTTATATATCTATAGATTTCCACAAGCGAGTTCGCATAGGCGCATATGCTCTAAGCAGCCACAGAGGACAAGTTGGAAAAAAAAAAAGGTGGAAAAAGGACCACCAGAGATGTGGATGGAGAACGATATGATGAGAGAAGAGGTGGATGCCAAGTCGGCAAGAGACCCAAGTCTCACCTGCTGCAGTGAGGAAAGGGCAACTTGGACATTTGGCGCCGACATGAGATGAGCCGCATGGTACAATAGGATTGATCGAATCCACATCACCAAGTTGTCTCTGTTCGGTCTGCATCATCGCACACACACACACACACACACACACACACACACACACACACACACACACACACACACACATATAATTTCAAAAAGGCGTTAACATGCCGAAAGGCCCGAAATCCTCATACCTGGGAGAACAAGCAGCCATGCTCTGAAGTTATCTATTATCCAAATCAGCTGGCTTTCTTCATCCGCACAAACAAACGCCTCCAATGCTTGGTGTAGTCTGTGCATTCCAGGTCCAAAATAAAGAGACCCTCTCCCCCTACCCTCACCTCCCCCTACCACCACAACCCCCCTGCCCCTCACTGTGGACCCCACTGCAGCCACTATCAACACCCCTCTCCATCTGCACAAACAAAAACTTTTGCCATTGTTTCCATTCACGGTCCATACTAAAGACCCCCTCCCCCGACCGTCACTGAACCCTACCACCAAACCCCACTGCCCCATGCAACTAGTACCCCTGCCCGTCACTATGGACCCCCCTGCGCCCACTTCCAATCCCCCTCCCCACCACCAACCCCTCCACTCCCATGCGTTTTCCCTATGTGACTCCGACAAAGTGGGAACCCCCCCAATCAACCAATCAAACAACAATAAGATTCAAATGGACAGCAGCAAGCCACACACTGGTAATCAGATTGCTGAGAGCAATGGGAGGACAACAATCACTCAGATCTCCGGTTATTAGGCCATTGAACACAAAAGAGAGGACAGTGAAAAGAAAAAGGAAGCACAGATGGGAGGGAAGGAAAACCAAAAGTGTATGGACTTGGGTTTAGAACCCCATAGTTGTGCTTGACCAGTCATCTGCTTGCTTTCAGGAAGCAGACCAAACACTACAACTCGACGACCAACTGTGTCACACGCGATCAGAGGACATGTTTTTCACTTGGGGGCCTGTGTTGGGAAAGGGGCTAGAATACCCTCACAGAAAATTACCTTGCGCATATGTCTGTGAGAGAGAGGTGGGGGAGCGGGAGAGAGAAAGAAGGCGAGAGAGAGAGAGAGGCAACCAACTGTGTCACATGAGATCAGGAGACATGCTTCTCATCTGGAGGGCTGTGATGAGAAAGGGGCAAAAAGAACTCTCTGCAGAAAATTACTTTGCATGCAGCTTTGCAACAAGCAGTGACAACAGCTTCCCTGCCTCAATCGATGTTAGTCTCCGAACTGTGGATGTCACAACCTGCACACACAGCATTCAGAGACAATACATATGATGTGTCATTTGGAGTAAAGCATTACAATAAAATAAATATTTCAAATTATCTCACGGAAGCATATTCGCAATCCAAATTCAGACTGACTAAGAAGGTTGGTATGCAATCAAAGGAATTGATAAACCAACGGTGAAATGTTTGCTGCCATACTTCTATACTTCACTTTGCCTCATTCGTCTCCACATGCCGTGAATTTCCCCATCCGTACAAACCAACCAGGCCGCAGGCGGAAAGGTACATCGGAAAAGCGGCCACAACTTTCAGCTCTCTGGGGCCGCCATTCCGGCATACTGGCAATTGAAGTTCGAACACAGTCTCCAAGCTAGTTTGGAGACATAGCTAATCCAATCTGATGCCACTGAGAGCGCTTTCCCGACCTCCAGTAGCAGAAAAATCTGCACGTTGATGCTGCGTACCCACTGATCAACGAAAACAAGGGGGAAGGAAAGAAAGAAAAAGTCCAACTGACTCCCACATACATTGCAGAAAACGTTTTGCGAAAAGTGCTCATTGAACCATTGGAGCCTATGAACACGTAAAGAGTGAGCAGATGCAAACTATGCAAATGTAGAGGCCTCAAAAGTAATAAATGGGGTAAGAAGTGTGGAGGTATGACGGCAAATATCCATAGCAAATATCCGATACCTACAAGCCTATGACATCAATGGCAGGTTCATTCTTCGCCAAGGGAGGAGTACTTTGCACCAAGCCTTCTTGTCATAATCCTCTCCGCCAATTGGAACAGCCATGTGTACAAAAAAAATTACAAGGAAAGAAGAGCCCATGTTTACAAATTATGTGGTCTGTCTGTCCACTTCTCGATCCTTCGACAAATACTATCGTCCACAACAGACAACTGAACAAAAAGCAAAAAAAAAGGCAAGCAAACTGCACAGAATAGCAACCCCCACTGCCCCCCACTCCACAAACCCATAACACAAACAACTTAACAAATTGACGGTACCACGCGACGGCCGTACCTACCACGCATTCACAATTTCACACCTTCCAAAACTTGAACTGAACTGCACATCAGGAAGGAAAAAAAAAAACAAAAAAACGACCATATATGGCCACTGCCACCTTTCCTACGATTCCAGCTGTGACTACTGCACACCCCTCAAAGCCAACCCCCCGACCTTACATTGTGCACACCCCTCAAAGTCGACCCCCGATCTTATACTGTGTCACAAAAATCACAAGTACACAACTATTTAAATGGCCATGAAGCACTCAAAACTACCGAGCATGTGAGCGAACAATCACATCAGGACTTTTTTTTTATCGCATGTGTTTGGCTGTGATTATGGCCCAATGCGCCTCGTGAGAACTCCGAGTGTGAATATTGCTGTGTGACATCTTCTCTGCACCTGGTCAAAGTGGTGATGGGCATGGTTCAATGAGACATAGCATTGTCGGCTCAAGCATCCCACAAGAGAATATAAGTACTTTGTACTTACCTTATCGTTAATTACATTAAGACCTCGCTCTATGAGTTCATTATCTTCTGAATGAAGCGCTTGCGATATCAGCACCTGCACAGACGTGAGAAAGCATGAGAAACTGACGGGCCTAGCTCAGTTGGTACACCCATGAACTGTTGAAATATGAATCGGACCCCAAGTTCGAATCCAGATGCAATCAGATGAGTGCGAATAACTCTGATTTACCTGGAGCCAGTCAGTTCAAAGATGATATCCAGACGCCATTGCACTTTCAAAAGAAAATAAGAAAAATAACGAGCGTGAGAATTACGAACAACAATGATAGATATATTACCATGCATGAATGAAAGCCTCAAATTCCTCCACTCAATCATTCTCCTCGTCAACGGTTCCCCCCTGGACTCTCCTTGCCGCCTCCTCTCTTCCTCTCACAACCAACCACCTCTTCCCTTTACCCCTTTGTGAATTCATCGATCTCCTCTTTCCCCCCCTCTCATCTTCTTTACCACATGGCAGTTACTACACGCAAGATTCATACATCCCACCTGACTTCTATACTTGTCAATCAATAGAACAGCAAAGACACAATCAACATCTGAATGATCTGATGACCTGGTCCCCTTTCGTCACACTGAATCACGAAGAGGGTCGACCCCATCAGCCTGGGTCCTGATTGAAAGCCATCCAAGGGTGCAAAAGCCATGCAATTTGGCCGCAGTTGCTGATAGATAAGAAAAAAATACTACACCATATCCCCCTATCTAATCACTGAATAGGAAGAGCCATCAAAGATAGGAGCTGCTTAGGGCCATCTGAGCATCCGTTCAGCTCACTTCTGCTCACTGACCTACTGCCTTCCTCCTACACTGCAAACCTCCAGAGCACACTGTTGACAAGCATGAATCGGCAATCGAACAAAACCAACGAGACTTGCAAACAACACATGTACAACAGAATAGTCATTTACTAAATGAGCCAAAAAATTAAATTACAAAAATAGACTACTCTCTTTGAGATCGATCATTCAATCATGCAAAGATGGAAGAAGAAGAAAAAGCAAAAGAAGAAGAAGAAGAAGAAGAAGAAGAAGAAGAAGAAGAAGCAAGAATAAAAGAAGAGGAAGAGGAAGAAGAGGAAGAAGAGGAGCCATGCAGCACCTGTAGGAAGAAGAGGAAGAAGACCAAGAAGAACAAGAAGAAAGAAAGGAGACTGTACGTGGTTTGTATGTGCTTCCCATAGTTGTGGTGCACCAGTGCGCAGTGAGGTACGGTCCAGTGCGCAGTGCGCTGGAATGACAGCACACACACTGTGCGCAGGAATGACAGCACACACACTGTGCGCTGTGCGCATTGCGCGCGCTGCCGGCGGTGCACCAGGTGCACGGACAAAAAAAAAAAAAAAAAAA